TTAAAGGTATCTCTTTATTATTGATTTTATGTTTTTTTCTTTATTATTTGTTTTACTTTTAAATTTTTATTTATTTTTGAAATTTTTTTTATCTTATGATTTCACTTAACTTTATTGCTATCACACAGGAGCTAACAAGCCACTGTGTGATAGCATTTGGAGGTGACAGGTTCACTTTATTGAACCTGTCGCCTCCAATACAGGAGTTCTAGCACAGCGCTGAGCCGGCTCTCCTGTGACACCTGACACGAGCGCAGCCCTCCCGCCTCAGTGTTCACACTTACCACTCTCCGTCCTGAAGTGATTGCCGTGGTCCTGGGTCCCCCAGGAGAGCGGGGGGACCCCGTAAACCACGGCGGGGACAGAGGCGACCAGGTGAGGTGGGGCGGACCATGTAGGGGGGGAGGGGCGGACCTGCAGACTGCATACAAGTGATCTTGGCGACATCGCAGAGATCACTTGATACAAAACGAGCGGCTGAACATTTGCCCGATGCAGGGCTAAGGTCTCGTTCACACCTAGGCGTATTGCATATGCGCGTCTGTCGCGCATTTTTTTAAACCGCGATTCGCGGTAAAAAAGTTGCGCGACCGTCGCGCATTTCCGAAGGCTACTTGGCTGTATCCCAATGGAAACACGCAACAAAACGGCCCAAAGTAGTACATGTACCTTTTCAGGCGTGGGCCGTTTTGTAGGGCGTTAGGGACGGGCGGAAATACGCCGAGGTGGGAACGAGACCATTGAATACAATGGGATTTATATTTTTGAGCGTTTTGTAGAGCGTTCGTCGAGCGTAGAACGCGCTACAAAACGTTCAGGTGTGAACGAGGGCTAAAAGTAGAAAAAAAACTGCCCGCCTGACGACTGTGCCGCCCCCCTACTCCCTGCCGCCCCGAGGCCAGGCCTTGGTGGCCTTGTGGGAAATCCGGCCCTGGAAATGATCTCCCCTTCAGACTCTTGAATGAAGTCCGGGGAAATCGTCTTCTCAATCTATACAGACGTTTGCCGTATTTGGAGATATTTTGTATCTTTATTAACCTTTCAGGCCCCATTCACACCTTTGGCGTGCGCGTCAAAACGTTCCGCAGCCAAGACCCGCGTCTTCGCGTGCGACGTCTAACGTGGGGAAAAATGTGCGCGGAACAAGCAAACTACGCTAGGCAAAAACGCGGACGGCTTG